ACCACATTAGGCACCAAAATTATGGATCTCACTCATTTTGACATTGATTGGTATCATCAAGCTAACTATGATGTGAAGATTATTGATAGTCGTAGTAGTTTTCCCAATGTACCTCTTCTTGGTACAAAGGAATGTATTAACTATAACCCTGTTCTTACACGTCACCAACTTGGATATTCGATGAGAGATAAACCAAAAAACATTCATCTGAGTGGTTTCTTTCTTAAAGAAGGAGAAGATCACAAGGAAACTAAGGAAGATATTAAAAATATTTGGTATCATATTCATAGGAAAGGAAGAAAGGATTTGGGACCAAGGGGAGATGTTTCCTTAGAGCCTCATCTTCGGTGGGTACAAGCAAGGGCAATTCAATTGAAGATGCCTTATTCTCACGAAGAACCTGTAGCTGATATGTTTATGATGAATAATCCTCCTCTCTTATATGATGTGGAAGAACTTCAACTTGTCGTGGTTAGGATGCAACAAGATAAGGAAACATGGAAGAACAAATACCAGACTTTGGAGGTATCCTACTCAAGAAAATTGAATGCGAATGATGATATGATTGAGATTCTCGAGAGGCATGCTGTAGAGATGATGGAGAAACAAGAGGATTTATTTTTCTCTAGTGGTCAGCTAGGTCCCAGTCACTCATTTCCTGATTTTGTTGGATGGAAAGAATTTTCCGCAAGTATGCAGAAGAGAACAAGCAGTTAAAGGCTCAGATTGCAAGACTCAAGGGAAAGCGTCAGTGTGTGGAGAGATCTTCGTCATCTTTGGCTCCTTAGGATTTTTAGATTTTATCTTTCTTCTCTTGTACTTAGGATTATGTAAACTTGTTCTAAAAGTTGTAATCCTTTCCAAAAGTTATTATTAAAATGAGATTATTGAGTATTTCCAAATGTGTTGTTCCTTTAATATTTGTAATTGTTTACAATTATTTAAGTTCCTTGAAAAAAACATGGATAAAATAAATCATGTGCATTGCATATAATTCATCATTTTGCATATATTTTTGCATTCTAATTCATTTCTAGGTGTCTTACTTATTTCTCTGCCTCATTCAGTCAGCAAGTTGTTGCATCACTACAACACTCGAGCTAATTCTAGAAGGAAGATGGACAACCTTGAATAAGAGAATCACGAGCTTCACGAGGAGATGACTTCTTTGAGGGCTGGTATGCCCAACCTTACTTAGTGGAATCGTTGGTGGCTGCTCAAAATCAGCGACCACCCCCTCCTTCTCCTTATGCTACTCAACCACAACAGACAACCGTTATTTCTGAAATTTTGTCAGTACCTATTTTAGTTACTCCAGTTGTTACTGCTGCTTAACACCGTATTCCTCGTGGTTATTCATGGGGAATGCCAGATGGATACAACCCTGCTTCTCAAGTTGCTCCACTTGTTCAACCTGCTGGCAAATGTTGTCCCTATTATTAATGATGAGGTTTATCATAATGCTTCTCCACCAAGTGAAGGCTTGGGCTTTTATGATAGGATGGATGATTTTTAGGACCAGTTCAATGAAATGCAAAAAGAAATTAAGGCTCTAAGGGGAAAATAATTATTCAGACAGAGTGTCAGTGATATGTGCTTAGTTCCTAATGTGAAAGTTCCAGCAAAGTTTAAAGTGCCAGAATTTGAGAAGTACAAGGGGAACTCTTGCCCCCCGTGATCATCATGTGATGTATATCAGGATGATGTCCACTCATATCGACAATCAACGCCTTCTTATCCATTTCTTCTAAGATATTTTGGCTGATGCTGCCTTGAAATGGTGCATAGGTTTGAACAGTAGCAACATCCATACATTCAATGATCTGGGAGAAGATTTTGTAAAGCAGTATAAGTACAACATTTTATGGCACCTGACAGTGACCAACTGAGAGTAATGGCTCGGAAAGATAAGGAATCATTTAAGGAGTATGTGCAGCATTGGTGCAAGGTTACTGCCAAGTGGTACCCCCAATGAGAGAGCAAGAAATGACTAAGGTCTTCCTGAAAACCCTTGTTTCATTTTACTATGAAAGAATGATGGCCAGTGCAACAAGTGATTTTACTGAGATGGTGAGTATTGGTGTCCATTTAGAGGAAGCTGTCAGATAAGGACGATTGTCAAAAGATGAAGGTTCCAGTGCAACCAAGAATCCATCATATGGTTTCTCTAGGAATAAAGAAGGAGAGACAAATGATGTTATTTAAGAGAGAATAATTAGGCCTCCGAGAAGACATCATCAATATCAACGACATGTTGCTTCAGTAACTCCAATTGTCAATATAGCTTCGACTGATGTTGCTTATCAGAAAGCACATCCTCAAGGTAATCAAGGGAAAGGTCAGAAGGGAGAAACTTTTGATCCAATTTCAATGAGTTATACAGAATTATTTACGGCCTTAATTCAGAAGAACCTAGTGCGGACTAGGTCTCCTCCTGTTGTACCTATAACTTTGCCATGGTATTATAAAGCTGATTATGTGCTTTTCACCAAGGGGCCTTGGGCACAACATTGAAAACTATTATCCGTTAAAGGCTGAAGTGCAAAAGATGGTCAGATCTAGTCTCTTGTCTTTTAAAGATGTAGGTCCAAATGTGAAAGCTAATCCACTACCCAAGCATGGAGGAGGAGGTGTTGTGAATATGGTTTCTGGTTGTCCCAGAGATTTCAGGATCTTTGATATAAACTTGGTAAGAGGTGATTTGGTAAAGATGCATGCTGATCTCTGTGAGTTTAGCTATTATACGCATAATCGTGCAGCTTGCAACATCTGTAGTGAAGATATTCGTGGGTGTGATAAAGTGAGAGGTGATCTCTAGGAGATGATGGATAAAGGCCTTATCCACATAATCAGACCAAGGCATGAGTATGAGGATGAAGTGACCATGGTATATGGATGTCCTAGTGAATTCCAGATTTTTGATGTAAATTTAATGGAAGATGATCTGGTACAATTGCATGCCATATTCTATTATAAGGATGGCCAGGAAAGGCATAATTATGGTTCTTGTCAGATCTGTTGTAGGGATTCCCGTGGTTGTTCTATTGTGAAGAGGGGTATCCAACATTTGTTAGGTGAATGTATTATTCGAGTCACAAGAAACAAAGATGATTATAACGGAGTTAATGTGATTGAAGATTATTCTTCTAAGTCCATGTCTGATGATGAATATGCTTATGTTGATGAATTCTTTTCTTCAGATATGGGTGACTTTTCTAACAATGATTCTGTGGTTCCTGAGTATGCTGAAGAGGAAGGGGTGAACGTCATTATACCACATTTTGACATTCTCGCTCCTGTAGAAATTGCATACTGTAGCAAACCTGTTATAGCTCCTGTGGTTATTTATCTACCTGGTCCTATCCCATATGATTTAGATAAATTTGTACCTTATAAGTATAATGCAACTATCCTGGAAGACAGTGTGGAAATTCCAATCCAACCTTTGTCCCATGTTGAGAATATTGTTGAGACCAATCAGGTAACCTGTAGTGGTCGTGTCTTTGCTCCTACCTTTCGAGGAGATGTCGACCTTGGTAAAAAGGTTGTTGAGACTTATGTTGAGCCTAAGAGTACTGTAGGAGAATCTAGTGGCGCTTCCCTAGAGAAATATTTTGATTACCTGTTAAAGATCATAAAGATGTGTGATTATAAGATTGTGGACCAATTGTTGCAGACCCCATCTAAAATCTCCATTTTATCTTTGTTGATGAACTCCCCTGCTCATCAAGAATCTCTGATGAGGGTGTTGGATTAGGCTTTTGTTGAAATGGATGTGTCTCTTGATCAGTTCAACGGTGTTGTGGTAAATATCATGTCTTGTAACAATTTGAGCTTTTGTGATGATGAATTTCTCGATGAGGGAAGAAACCATAATTTGGCTCTACACATATCTATGAATTGTAAGAATGACTCCTTATCCAATGTACTGATAGACAATGGTTCCGCTTTGATAGTTATACCGAGAAGCACTCTTAAGAAGCTCAAGTACCAGGGAACTCCTATGCACCCCAGTGGAATTATAAGAAAGGCTTTTGATGGTTCAAGAAAATCTATTATTGGGGAGGTGGACTTACCCATTGACATAGGTCCACACGTGTTCCAGATTACCTTTCAAGTTATGAATATTGTCCCAGCCTACAGTTGTTTGTTAGGACGACCCTGGATCCGTGAAGTCAGAGTTGTTACATCAACTCTGCATCATAAGTTGAACTGTTGATAATAAGTATAATCATAGAGACCAATATAGTGTAAAACCTTGTATCTTTGATCGAGAAAGGTTTGACTATTGGAAGGACAGAATGGAAAGTTATTTTCTGGGATTTGACTTAGATCTATGGGATTTGGTAGTTGATAGCTACAGTTATCCAGTAGATGATGAAGGTAAAAAGATTGCAAAGAGTGCAATGGTTCATATGCTCAGAAAAAGACTTACAAGAACCACTACAAAGCTAGAACAATTCTTCTCAGTGCTATTTCTTACAATGATTATGAGAAGATCACAAATTGAGAGACTGCAAAGTCTATTTTTGATTCTCTTCAGATGACTCATGAATGTAATGCTCAAGTTAAGGAGACAAAGGCTCTGGCCCTAATCCAGAAATATGAATCCTTTAGAATGGAAGACGATGAATCTCTGGAAACTATGTTTTCAAGATTCCAGACGCTTGTTGCAGGACTCAAATTTCTGAACAAAGGATATACTACTGCAGATCATGTCAAGAAAATTATCAGAAGTCTGCCTAAGAAATGGAGACTGATGGTAACTGCCTTGAAGTTGTCCAAGGATCTGAATAAGACTAGTCTTGAAGAATTAACCAGTTCTTTAAGAAGTCATGAGGTTGAACTTCAAGAAGATGAACCCCAGATAGACCTTTTGATTCCTATCATTGAAGAGGTCAATAACAATCATAAAGTTGACTATATGCAAAAGCCACCTTTGAAACCCTAAAGTTGCTTATGTGCAAAAGCCACCTTTGAAACCCTAGATATACCTTTTGATGCCTATCGTTGAAGAGGTCAATTACAATCCTAATTTTGGTGAAAGTAGGGATGATAGTCCTTTATTGGAGGCATCACCTGATGTGAATCTAAATATTCCTAATGTGGAAACGATCTTGATCCATCACAACCCTCTTAATTTTGTTTCATAACTGACTGCGGAATCAGATTCTCAGCTGTCCACTTTTGTGGATGCTACTCAAGTTGCTAATGGTGTTGAATTTCCTGTTACGGATGTCATTTTTCTCAATAATTCATGGGCTAATTTAGAAGAATTAAGTGAGGAGCCTATTCCAAATGAAGGTGTCTTTACTTCAGTGATCTCCAATCTCAAGAAGAAGTAGACTGCTAGGGAAAAAGCAACACTATAATACTAGGTACCAAGCAATACTTAAACAACTTTCATTATGAAATGCCTCTATTTGAATATTAGAGGTGTGGCTAATGCTCCTTATAGATTAGCCAGGAAGAGATTTATTAAGTTGCATCATCTTGATTTCATTTTCATTGTGGAACCCAAAATAGATTTCTCAAAGTTTTCAAATAATTGGTTTCACCATTTAGGGTTTAAGCTCTTTGCCTTCAATAATAAGAACCTTCCTTCTTTGTGGTGCTTATACAATATGGATTTTTCCCCTACCATCATTTCTTCTTCTAATCAATTTGTTGCTTTTTCATTTTTTTGGATAATTATTTGTTGGCATGTGCTGGATTTTATGCCTCCACTAACCTTATCAGACGATGTAAGCTTTGGTTAGATCTCAACAATATTCAATATTTACATCCTCTCCCGTGGACTTTTTTCGGATATTTCACTACTATTGTAGGTGCGCATGAACATAGTGGTAGAAATAATAATGCCTGAAGCCCTATGCCTGAATTCAAGAACTTGTCGGATGTTTATAATATCATCCATATTCCCACTTCTGGCACCAGATTTACGTGGTCAAATAAAAGATATTTTCTCTCCACCTTAGAGAGATGACTTGACAGGTGCATCGAGAATCAACTTTTGTTCGATGTTTGAAATCAAATTTTGGTTTCTACCCTCTCTAAAGTTAGCCCTTTGTTGCTGATTGAATTCTATATTAATGTGGTTCGTGTTATGTCTCAGTTCAAATTCCTTAAAAATTGGTCTCTCCACATAGATTACATAATGTTGATTGAATCTGTTTGGGCTCAAGATGTTGTTGGTTGTCATATGTTTGTTCTGTCATATGGAGGAGTACTTTTGGAGGGAGAAATCGAGGGTGAAATGGAATTTGGAGGGAGGCGGTAATACTACCTACTTTCAGCGTGTCACTAAAATCAAGCACAAGCTGAATCCTATCTAATTCCTTATGCAAAATTATGGGGTGAGTTCAGACCCCAAAGAGATAACCGATTGCACATTGAATTACTTTCAAACGTTGTTTTGTACTAACTCTTTTATTTTGTAGGATATGAGCATGGTGGATGATACCATCCCATTGCTGGTTGATGATAATATGAACGTCATTCTCATGAAGTTTCCTTCTTTGGATAAGATTTCTTCTGTTGTTTTTGCTTTGAACAAAGATAGTGTGTCGGGTTTGGACAGTTTCAGGGCTGTTTTTTTATCAAACCTATTGGGATATCATCAAGGTGGACATCTCGAATGCTGTTTTGGATTTTTTTCTCATAGGTTGGATTTCTCCTGGGTTCAATTCCAACTCCATAGTGCTTATTCCTAAAATCAAGGGTGTTAATTCTTTAGATCAATTTTGTCAATTACCATTTCTAACTTCAAGTTTAAGTTGATTTCCAAGATTATTGCAGACATGCTTGTGACCTTGATGTCGTTTCCAGTTTCTCAAGAGCTGCGGGGTTTTATTCATGATAGATAAATTCATGATTGTATTGGCTTAACTTCGGAAGCGGTTAGTTTTTTAGATTCTAAAGCTTGGTGTGGAAATTTGGCTCTTAAAGTGGACATTAAGAAAGCTTTTGATTCACTCAACTGGAATTTTCTTGTAAAAGTCCTCCACACTTTCGGTTTCAATAACAAGTTTTGCTAGTGGGTTAACTTTATTCTTCATTTAGCACATCTTCTTGTGAATGTTAATGTAGTATTGCATGGTTTCTTTTGTTTCTCTCTTGGTGTTTGTCAAGGCGATCACTTATTTCCGCTGTTGTTTTGATTGGCCGAACACGTCTGCTTAGCAGAAGGATTCTTCAGTTATTTTCTTCCAATCATTTGAACCTTATCACCAGTCCGAATAATATCATAGTCCCTTCTCACATTCTTTACACAAATGATGTTTCTATTTTCTACAAAGGTAAATTCTCCAACATAAAAAATCTCATATCTATTTTCAAATACTATGCTTAAATATCGGGACAAGTGGTCATTAATGGGAAATCTTTCATTTATGGTGGTGCCATGTTGAACTCCCGTCTCAATATTCTTGTTGCTCACTCGGGTTTCCAGAATTTTCTTACTCCTTTCTTGTATCTCGGGGGTCCCGTTTTTCAAAGGTAAACCTAAGAAGTTATTCTTGCAACCTTTTGCTGACAAAATTATAAAGAAGCTAGTTTTGTGGAAAGTTTCACTACTTTCTTTTGCAGGTAGGGTGGATTTCGTTGCTTTGTGATATTGAAAGGGAAATGAGAAGGTTTATTTGGAGTGGTGAAACTTCTAAAAACAAGTTGGTGACTGTGGTGTGGAACAACATTTGTAAGTCGATTGTTGAAGGCGGACTTGGTATTAGATCTCTCTTCAATTTAAATGAAGCCTCAAATTTGAAGCTTTCTTGGGAGCTTTTCCACTCTTCGGGTAGCTGGGGTTATTCTCATTTGGGAACGAGTCTTGCATAACAACAAACTCATTGATCATCATATATTCTCTTCCATTTGGTTCAATGCCATAATGAAATAAGTAACATTTTTTATAATTCCTCTCGTGCCTTGAGAATGGTAACTCGATAAGTTTATGGTTTGGTAATTGGTGTGGCCATCCTTTGTGTCTTGATGATGCTACCCCGACTTTGCTTGATGATCAAACTGTTAGCAACATTATGGTCAATGGTATTTGGGATTTTTCTAAGTCCTCCATCAACACTCCTCTCTCTATCCAGATGTACATTATAAATTTATATATTCCCTCTAACATTCGTCCAAATAAAAGATGATGTCATCATTCTTCTGATGGTAAATCATCTCTAAATTAGCTTACAAATTCAAAAGAAATAGAGGCACTACTTTGGATTATTGGAAATGGATATGGAATAATTTTATTCCTTCTTCTAAGTCTTTCATGGTGTGGTGGCTAATTCATCATAAGCTACCGACATATGATTAATGGAAAAGAAGATTCTTTTCCTTCCCTTCTAGGTGCGATCTTTGAGCTTTGGCAGAGGAAACAAAATCCCATCTTTTTTAGTGCTATTTTGCTTCTAAGCTATGGAGTTGGATGAAGAACATGCTCAATATCTATTATGTTATCCTTGACTGGCCATATATTTAGAGATTTCTTGGAACAACGTTTGATATTCATAGTAAGGTCATCTCTAAAGTAGCTGTCATCTTCACTCTCAACTCGATTTGGAAGGCTCAAAATCTGGTTAGATTCAATGACACTTATACTACTTTTTCTTCTTCTTCTTCTTCTTCTTTTATTATGGTTGTTGTTTCCATTACCAATAATTCCATTGTTGTTGGTCCTCTTCTTTATTTACATGATTTTGAGATCCTTAAAAGGTTTAAGGTGACTACTTGTCCATCTCGTACGCCGAATATTTTGGAGTTTTTTTGGCAGCCCCCTCCAAGGAATTGGATAAAGTTGAATTTTGATGGTGCCTCCAAATCCCCTTTGGGATCTTTGGCTTACGGGGTTATTGGTAGAGACAATGGTGGTTCTTTTTGGGTGATTTTGCTTCTTTTTTAGGAGTCCCTAATTCTCTCATTGTCGAACTCTCGGGTGCTATGCAAGCAATTGAGTTTGCTCATGAGAAAAATTTGCATTTTGTTTGGTTGGAAACGAATTCATCGATGGTAGTTAAAGCTTTAAGTCCTCCTTATTATGTTCCATGGTTTATTGGGAGTAAATGGATTAATGGCATAAATCTTGTTTCTAAGTGGAATTTTGTAGTTTCTTACATTTTTAGAGAAGAGAAGAGTTGCCCATATGCTTTTGCTAATTTATGTGTATCTTTGACTGATATCACTCATTTTTCCTTTATATTTGTGTGTAGGGTGGGAAATGAGTCGAGTCAAACTCGCCTCAGCTCAGTTCAACTCGTTAAGAATTAGCTGAGTTCGAGTTTATCACAAACTTTTTTTTTCAGTTCAAATTTGACTCGTGAAGAATAGGCTGAGTTCTAGTTCATCACAACTTTTTTTCCAATTCAGACTCGAATTGTTAGAAGTTCACGAACATCTCGATTCAACTCGTTAGGTTTATCTTGTTAGGTTCAACTCGCTTATTTCACGGACTTAAAATTAATTTTTAAAGTCTATTATATATATATATATATATATATATATATATATATATATATATATATATATATATATATATATATATATATATATATATATATATATATATATATATATATATATATATATATATATATATTTGACATTTTAAAATAATATTTTTTAAATAAAAAATATAGAAATAAATAAAACTTATAAGATTTGAATTTATACGATGTTAATTTTATTTGTATAATTACTTGTAGAAATATTTTGCTCACTTGAGAATATAAATTATCAATTAAAACAATTAGATTAAAAGAAAATATGAGACTAAGATTTAGAGCAAATATTTAAACATACTCTTAAAGACAATATAATCTATCTCATATATAATTGAATTCACTCATGAACCTAACGAGTCAAACTATGTATAGTTCAAATTCAACTCATTTAGTTATCGAACTTAGTTTTTAGCTCATATTCAACTCATTTGGTTCATGAACCTAGTTCAATGATTTAATTATTTAATCAAATTTCGAACTGATTTCGAGTTGGTTTGGTTCATCGCCAGCCCTATTTGTGTGTATTAGGTCTGATTTTGTAAAGAATGGGTTAGGTTTCCATTCTTTAGGTTTGCTTATTCTTAAGATGATCTTAGTATAATTCTTTTTATATATAATCTTATTAAAAAAAGTGTCTTGAACTGGGCCCGCACTCAGCCCAAAAACCATACAAGGCCTAACCTAACTATGCTGCAAGGGTAGCCCAGCAAGAATGAGCATGTCCTTGACCTATGTCGGGCAGGAATTCCTCCCCTCACATCGAGGACATATCCTCCAACATGTTCTCCGAAGACAACTCCTTGCCACATGACTACTGAGGATGATCACTGTCACCCAGGTGGGGCATACACCCAATGTCTCCAAATATCACGGAGTCCTCTTGACCCTGAAAAGCTGTATCCACACCTCCTTGATAGTTCAGAGCAGTTCACCCAGGATGGAGACCACATGCTGGTCTCCATTACACACGCAGGTCCTTGCAGTCTCCAATTTGGGCCTACTCAATCATCCCAACATAGGGACTTTGGCCCAACACTGGGGGCTATAAATACCCTCTTACACTAGACGGTTAGATATTCATTCACTTACTCACTTTTGTACTTGCACTCTGATTGTATCCATTCTTACTTTGGCATCAGAGTACCTTGCAGGTACACCCTTTCCACTTCACTTTCAACTATCGTTCAACTCAAGCTCGTGAGCCATTGACGATCCCTCCTAATCAGGTACAATCAGCGGTGCCGTCTTTGGGAAACCAGCTTCCCCGTCTTCTTTCAATACAAGACTAAAGCAACCTTGAACCTTTCAATCGTAATGGCCAACCAAGTCAACAACGATGATCAAAATATTCATTTCACTAATGTTGGCAACAACAATAATGTTGGCAGCCACGAGCATGACATCAAGGACGGGATGACCCCGTCCTCCTCCACTGGTTCACATCTGCTTGACAATCCTCTGCGAAAAGACTAAGAGCCTGCAGTGTATCATGAAATCCCCGTGCCTGATAATGTTGATCCTGTTATACCCCAATTTCTTCCTCTAAGATCCTACACCACTTCATATCATTACAATGGACCAAAATCACACATTATGGTTGGGTTTCCTCTTCTACTGGATCCTATCTATAAAGTTTCCTTTGAGGGATCACCAAGCACTTTGAATTATATATTTTATATGTGTGTATCTTATGGTTATTGATTCTTAACTAACATAAAAATATGTATATATGTTTCCATGAATGTTTGTGTTGTAGGTGTTGATACAATGGTATCCATCTCACTACCTATCCTAGGGTTTAGGAGGATGATCCTCAGCCAATTGGTTTTCAATGGATCTTAAAGGCTTGAGCATTCAAAGTTATGATTATAGCATCAAAAGTCTATGGTTGGAGAACCATCAATTTCATTTAGACCAAACTTGTCTCAAAGAGAATAATTGGATTCACCAAGAAGATTCATATGTTCATGTGTTTATTTCCATGCCTTCTTCAACAAGCTTCATTTAGATATAGGCTTCATCATTAAGTGTGCTTCAAAATTACATCACTGTAAGGTCTCATGTGATTTATCATTCCTTGGTTTGCAAGAAAAGTTCAAAAGATGCAGAGTTGATTCAAGAAGTTTGACCTAATTGAACAAGTCCTTGATTCTATGATCACAAGTGCACAGTTCTCTCAATTTTAAATATTTTGAGGTGATTATTTTTTCTATGGGTTCCTATCATTATCTAGGACAACTTTTATTCACATTATAATGTCCAATTGTGCAAAGAAAATCATCAAAAGTTGAAAGGGGTTACAGGTCCCTTTTGTACTTTCTAAGTAGGGTTTGGTTGACTTCTAAATACCATATCTTTCTTAAACTTTTGAGATTTTGAGGTGATTCCAAAGCCATGATTCTCTTCAAGGATTCATTAACATTTTCTCTTCAAGGGTCAAAGGCTAATTTTGAGAGGAAGATCATTTAAGTGTGGAAAAGATTACAAGTCCTTTGGAAAATACATTGAATTCCTTGATTTGACTTCAAGGGATCATACCTTGGTTAGTTTTTATCTCCTTGAGCTCATTATTTTTTAAAAATAAACTTGTATGTTTCTACTATAACTTTGTTTCAAGGTGCAAGGCTTGAAAATGCTTGGAAAGTCATTTAAGAATTGAAAAGATTATAGGTCATTTGTGAATTCCTCAAGAAAATTTCATCATCTTCCTAAGATCATAACTCTTTCAATTTTTATGATTTTTGAATGATCTCAATTCCAAAATTAAATTTTAAGGGTCTATTCCATTTCATCTTCAAGGATCAAGAGCCAATTTGATTGGAAGAGCTTGTAACTTTGAAGAACATTATAGGTCATTTTGAAGCCTAATACTTTGAATTTTTTCCAAGTACCAAGATCCGTGTGTTTTTTCCAATTTCAATTGAACATAACTTTATGGTCAAGCATCTAAATGAAGTCTTTCTTGGCACATTGTAAATTTGGTGACCTTATCTTTCCAATGCTTCAAATATCATATCATAAAGCTCTCTACATTGTTAGCACCATGGTTGTGAAGTTGGTATCTTGAAACTGAGTTTTTTGCTTGAAGTCAGAATTGATTTTGATTAGTGTGGCTTCTAAACACAAAATTGATGCGCTTTTTCCACTTAAACATGATTAGAAAACTTAGTGGTGTCATTTAGAAGACCAAAACACAAAAAATTATTGACTTTTGATGCACGTTGTTGTACCCCAAAATTTTCCCTCTCATTTATCAAGACTTTTCTCACAAGATCTCTTTGACTCAAGACTGGATTAGGATTTGATCAGCTCAAGATATCTCATCTTGCACTG